GTTTACCGCCCGCCAGGCAGATGGCTGCTGAGCACTTCTAGCCTTGATGGGCACACCTACAACACATTCTGACGATACAGATGTTGTCCCAGCTGTGACACAGTTACCTCCAAGCTTCAAGATTCCTGAGAAGTTGCCCAATCCCTCTGGACCTCAGCTCTTCACTGTGATACTGTCTGCCTCAGAGATTGAGGATTAAATTTCTTTTGGGTACCATGTAAAATGGAACACAATATACACAGGTGTCGGTGACAGTAGAGTTAGCGCTGAATGAATGGAACACTCTGCATGCCTCTCAGTGTGGTGGGAGGGTGCACAGATTCTCAAGCCCTCCCCCTCCCCAGACTCACCAGGGCCAGAGTTCCTGAGGACTCCAAAGTGGGGGATCCACAAGAGACCCATAGCCTCTGCTTTTCAAGGCATGCTGGAGACCATTACTGAGGCAGGGAATGTGTCTATCTGTCACACAACCACGGCTCTGCTGACTTCAGCTTTCAGTGCTGGGCGCTTTGGGTATTATGTAGTATGAAGGTTTCTTAAAGGATTAATCTTAATAAGGCTGAAACTCTCCTTCCTGCTCTGGAGGGCAGGACTTTTCCTTTGTTCCCACTACAAACCTGGCACTCTGCCCATTGCCAGCAAGGCCAGAGTCGGTTCAGCAGGTACAGCTGCCACCAAGCCTGATGACCTGAGGGAGGTTCATCCCCACACATGGTAAACATTCTTCTGACCACACATGCTGTGGCAGGTGTATGTGTGTGTGTTTAGGGGGTTGTTCATGTATGTGTGGGTATTCGTGTGTATGTGTGTTAGTGTGTGAGGGATGTTCATGTGTGGGGGAGGTTTTCATGTATGTGTGTGTGTATATGTGTGTTCATGTGGGGGGTCTTCATGTATGTGTGTTCATGTGGGTGTAGGAAGGTGTTCGTGTATGTGTGTGTGTTTGCGTATGTGTGAAATGTATTTTTAAAAAAACTCAAAAAATGGTACCAAATGCCACAGTTCAAAACAAAACACTGCTGAGCTGGCCATGGTTCACACCTATAACCCCAGCACTCAGGACAGTAAGGTAGAGGCAGTCCCTCCCTGTAGCGTGGGCTAAAAAGTGGCACCCGGTCTCACAAAATAAAATGAATAAATATAAACTCAGAATTGCTAGCTGCTGAAGGGGTGGGATGGGGGAATAGGGGCACACCACACCGCCACGCCACACAGCCAACCTTCTAAGCCATTTGCATTTCTACCCTCCTGTCAGGAGCTTTGTCTACGCCAAGACTCCAGAAAGTCTGTCCCATCACCAGTGGCAGTTTCTACAACAGCATGGGCTTTGCAAGATTGACATTCCAACAACAGAGACCCCGCCAGCGACAGGAGGACATTAACTACTCTCTGAAACCAGACACATCTGTCCCCCGAGTCCCTCAACTGGCACCGAGGGAAAGTTAACCTTGGATCTGCTGGACAACCCAAGGCCTCCTGGGGAGGAGCCCTGGCCTGGGAACAGAGAACACCCATACACCCATAGGCCTTGCTGGATGTTGGTGACAACAGCAGGGGGCAGCAGGGAAGCAGGACAATCCCTGAAAGAGTCTGGAGCTTGGACCATCTCATACCCTGCTAGACACACACAGCACTTCCTCAGCTGATGACTGACATGCCGTACCTACTCAATAAACGGTGATGGGAAAATGTGCTGTTTTGAAAAGGGCTGGTGCCTACTTTATATCAGCTGCATAAAGAAATTCTGGCTGCCTTTATCATTAGCAATAAAATACACATTCGCTAAGAAATAGGTACAGGGAATCTAGGCAACTCTGGAATGTAAAAAGGTGTACAGATGGGGCAGGAGGTGTGGTCGGAGGTAAGTGTTTAACCTGTGCAATGCCTGACTCCAACCCCAGCAGCAGCAGCAGACTGGGAAAGGGGACGCGGGGACACCAAAATACACGCCATGGACATACGCAGCATGATTAATTATTGGAGACACTGAGCTCAACAACAGTGGAAAACTATAAATCACAGTCAGAAAATGTCATGTCTTAAAGGCACCGCAGTGGCGTCCCCAATAAAAACTAAAGGGCCTGTAGCAGGCTTACTGCTTTGCTTAAAGGGGTGTGCTCCTGAAAATGGGTACATTGAAAGAAATGTATGCAAGACACAGTGAAATATCAGTAGGTGTCGTAGGCTAACAGAAATCATCATCCTTATTCCAACCCGTGCTTCAATGGTCTTCAACTTCTTGAGAAAACAGTCATCTCTTGAAATCTACAACAATGTTCAGTAGTCATAATCACATATGGCGCAAAAGCAAACTGTGTTACAAATTCACCGAATCCTAGGCAAGCATATTGTTCTGGCTGTCATGGTCTGGCTGGGCGGCTACCAACTCAGGAGTTTTGGAAGTAGACAAGTGTGGGAGGAAAAGCAACCACTCCACAAGAAGATGAAAACACAGGCTTGCCCTACAAAGTGGGCAACTGCGAGAGGCCCCTTTCTGGTTTTCCCATCTGCAGCAAGACAGCTGTGAAAGGGAACCTCTGAACCTAGAGACAGAAAAGTAGACACACAAGATGTCATCGCTGTCCACAGGTGGTTTCACCAAGTCATAGCCCTCCCACAATGCCACCAGGACGCCTGTCAGCGCAGCGGGCCATCCTCAGCCTTCATCAGCATCACCTGGACCCCTTGTGAAAGACACACGGGTGGAACAGGTACCCCCACTGCTTCTGATTTTCCTGAACCCGTCGGCAGGGTCACTGGAGATCCTGCATCGTTCTAATAAGCTCCCAGGTGATGCTGCTGCGGCCCTTCTGACTGCCCAGCTTTGAGAGCAGGTGCTGGATAAGACAGCAGACGCTCCACAGACATCATCTTCAACGACAGGAATGGTAAGGACGTCCCTTGAGGGAGACAGCCTATAAGAACAGGAACAAATGAAACTCCTCCTCCATGCCTGGGAGAACCAACCCCCAGGGAAAAGCAGCACACAAGGCAGGTTCCGGGAGCCCAGGTGTGGATCCTGCTGGACACTCAGCAGCTGTGTGGTCCTAGATAGGTGAAATCAAAATACCTGAGTCTGAGTGTCTTCATGGGTGTAAACTAGATAGAGGGAAATAGCTCATTTCTCTCCAGCTGGGGAGTGGAAACGGGTGCCTACCCAAGCCAGCAATGGGAAGTCGTTCCTTTTTTTTTTTTTTTTTTTTTTTTTTTGAGGCAGGATCTCTCTATAGCCCTCACTGTCCTGAAACTCCCCCCTACTTACTGAGTGCTGGGATTAAAGGCTTAAAGGTGAGTGATACCTCACCCCACAAAGCTATTTACTTACATTCTTTAAGAATGGGTATTGACAGACATAGACTTGACACCTATATTCCCCACACTCAGGAAACTGAGACAGTAAATAGGATTGCTGGGAATTCCAGGCCTTCAAGACCAGCCTGAGCTGAGAGACACTGCCTCAAACAAACAAGACCGAGGTGCTGTTGGAGCAGGTGTCATTTCCTCAGGCGCAAATCCTCTTCCTTTCTTAGCCCGGACAGGTATGTACCACTCACACCCAGCTCTTCCTTCACCTAGATTTTGAAAATCCACACACAGAAATGTCAGCAAGGGCTCCCCGTCCTAGCCAGGAGGTGGTGGCGCGTGCCTTTAATCTCAGGAGGCAGAGGCAGGCGGATGATCTCTGGCTCTACAGATGAACCCAGCCTTGTCTTCAGAGCGAGCTCCAGGGCCGCCAAGGCTACAGAGAAACCCTGTCTCGAGAAACCAAAATAAAAGAGTTCTGCGTCCTGCCAAAAGCTCAGGAGACCAAGACTGTCCACCTGCTTTGAGGTTTTTTTTTATATTAATTTCACCCATATTCCTCCTTCCTGCCTGCTCCTCTCTACCAAATGTCCAAGGTCAGATCCTGCACACATCATATACGAAATTAAAACAACAGTTCACAACTCTGAAATTCCCTAGGTGTTCCCATCTTATAAAGATAATATTAGAATGTGAGAAAAATGAAATGGCAGAGGCCAAGAAAAAAAACTACACTAGTTAGCCAAGCGTGAGTACTAGCCAGCCCAGCCTACTAGATGGAAAACTCAGGAATGTCACTTACCTAAGCCTTTTCGCTACAATAAGCAGGGCAAGGCTGGGGCCAGATCAGGGAACCCAACACTGGTATCTAGCATGGAGACAGTGAGTCCTGTCTCCAAAGACTAGAGATCTTCAGAAGACACCACACACACACACACACACACACACACACACAGGTTTAAGAAACTCATCCAAGAGCAACGTAGTCATCAAAGGCAGAAATGAGAAGTCCATCTAATAGGGAAACACATGGCTGTGTGTCGTCAGGGGGGAAACCTCTCGCAGATCTTGCTCAAGATCCGTGTCCCCGTTCACAAGTAAAGAAGGCATGATAATGAACTCATATTTTACCCACACAAGCTCAGCCGTACTTAGGTACCAGGACACACACTGAGGGCCAGAAAGAGAGATGGGGTCCCAGAGGTTATTAAACTCCCCTGCAAAGACACACACAAACACCTACGGTGGCTATCTGTGGAGTTCAAAGATGTCTAGGGAGGTGCTTCTGAAGCCGGTGGGGACACCAGAGCTTGGAGCGACGACTAGACAAGACCAGGTGTTCACATTTGCTTTTTAGTCCAAAGAGGAAGAAAAACGTGCAGTTTAGGCACGGGAGCTGGACCAGAGAAGGTGAGGAGGCATGCGGGGGCAGGACAGCGACTCTGCACCTCCCACGGATCCCCGAGCTTGCGGGTGGGAGCCACCTGTGCCTGCCACCCGGGCTCCCGGCGTGCAGCTCCGCCGTGGAGCGGCGCAGGCGTGGGGAGCCGGCGGGGACCGCAAGCGGCGCGGCGCACGCGCGACGGGGGGAAGCCCGGAGTGTGCGGCCGCGCAGGGAACGCATCCTCCGAACGCCTCGAACCGGCCGGCGAGGAGCATCTCGTGGACTGCGAGGCAGGCCCAAGCGGGGCACTCACCAGAATAACAGGCGCGAGCAGAGGTTGGCGTCCTGCAGCGGGTTGGGCTTCACCTCGGTGTGCACGGGCAGCATCTTGCCTAGGGTACGCGCGGCCGGGAGGGAGCGCGGCGGCCGTGTGCGCGGCTCCGGGAGGAGCTCCCGGCTGAGAGGATGCTGGAGCTCCGGGCCGGCGCGCCGGTCCGCTCGGCGGGCTTCGCAGGCAGCGGCTTCCGGGAACCGGCCCGCCCTGACCCCGCCTCCCCGGGACTCCTCGGGGCGCCCGCTACGCGCCGCCGCCGCCGCCGCCGCCGCCGCCTCCTGGAGCCCGGGAGCTGCGCGTCGCGTGCGAGCACAGTGGGAGGGGAAGGCGGGTAGGGAACGGCGTAGACCACGCGCAGGGAACGAGCGGCGGCCCGGGGAAAACGCGAGGCCGGGCTGCACGTGCTCGGGACCCGCGGCAAACTTTGCCGAAGTTTATTAAGATCGGCGCTCCAAGCACCACCCTGACGGTGGCGGGGGCGGTGCCGGCTGTGCCCGCCCCCCGCGCTCAGAAACGCCCCGTGGACTGAGAGCTGCTGGAGATCGGGTGAAAGCGGCCCGGCTTTGGCTGCCTTTCCCCTGGCATGTTGCCTTCATCAGGACCAAATAGGGCGCTGTGGGAGGTCCTCCGACCTGCAGGCCGAGAATCTGACCCGGAACAGCAGCAAGGTTTAACAGATCCCCTCTGCAGACCTGAAAGCAAGCGGTGAAGACACACTGGATTAGAACTCAAGGATGTGAAGAGATGGATGGATATTGCCATTTCGGGCGGGCGTGGCGGATCTCTGTGGGCAGTTGGCTGCCCTCTTAGCTTGGGTAGGGGAAATGAGATAACACACTTCACCAAGCAAGCCCTGAGAGGCTAGCAGAGGAACAGTGACAAAGGGAACAGATATCCCAGGACACCTGGGTGTGCCTTTCTGTATACCTACTCCACTTTTAATTTGAATAGTGCCCATTTCGAGACGGTTATTCCTATTTTATGGAGCAAACTCAGATTCAGAAGATCCAGCTCCTCCAAATCTTAAGATGAGTGATGGATGATGAAATCTAATCTGTACTCAGGTTGTGGACTTGGACCGTTTAAGAGGTGGTCGAGAAACATGAGCGTGCACCAACACAATGAATAAGATGGCTTCCCAGCTTTTGGACGCCTGTTCACAAGCCCTGGGTTCTATCGGGGTCTTGGTAACGGCCTCGACCGTTTCTGTTCACTGCAGCACCGGATAAAGACGCGCAGTTCTGAATTCATGGCGCGAATGAGTTTCACCCTTCCCTCTGACCAGAGACAACTTCGGAGGAAAGGGTTGCTCTCAGGCTTACACTGGCAGGTAACAGTTCCTCGCTGCTTGCTCAGCTCCTGGCTGCTGGGAAGGACTGCTGCCTGCTGAGTCAGGCCCACCATGGGCCGGACCTTCCGGTCCACTCACAACAATAAGATATCTCTCAGGTAGCTGCAGGCCAAGATGATCTGGGCAGTTCTTCAGTTGAAAGTTCCCACTTTCCCTGTGACTCTAGGTTGGGTTGGGTTGACAAAAAATAGCCAACTCCACTTTCATTGGTCATTTCCCTTGTATGTTTATTTAAATGGCCTTATTGACAGTCTTTACGGCCTTCGTATAAATAAGAGTTCACTTAGAAGTTGAGCTGTCTGTGATGGGTCCAAGCCCTTAATTCCATCACTTTGGAGGTGCAAACAGAATCAGCAATTCAGGGTCATCTCTGAAGGAGAGAGGCCCTGTCTCAACAAAATAAAAATAAGTAAGTAGAGATAAAAGTAATAAGCCAGGCAGGGAGATCTGAAGTTCAAGATCAATGGGATACCTGGGGAGTTCTAGATCTGATTGGATACATAGGGAGAGAGGAGAATTGGCACAGGGTCTCATGTGCCCCTATATTAGCCATCTAACTCCAGTTACAACCGGGGATGACCTTGAACTCCCAATCTCCCTTCATTCACCTTCCAAGTGGGGATCACGGACCTGTCCATCAAGCCTGCTTATCAATGGGATTTTGGGGCTGGGGAGACATCCCAGTAGGTCATATGCTTGCCTTACAAGCCCAAGGACCAAATTCATCCCACCTCCAAAGACAAGCATTGTGGCACACATTCCTAGATGGGCGAGAAGGCTAGTGGGTCCCAGGTCCCTGGGTATCCGGCCTACCCTACCTACTTCATAAGTTCCAGGGCAGTCAGTGGTCCTGTTTCAAACAAGAAATGAAAGGTAGCTGGTACATGAGTAATAACAAGGTTTTGCCCAGATGCACACACAGAGACTTCATATATAGCATATAGAAAGAAAGAAAGATAGATAGATAGATAGATAGATAGATAGATAGATAATATCTAGATATATAGATATAAAGTCTCATCTACTCGGGATGCTAAGACAATAGAAGGACAGATGGATCTCTTGAGCTATGGACTTCAGGACCAACCTGAGCATCATAGATCTATCTGACTTTCCAAAAAAGAGAAAGGAAAAAATAAAAGTCAGGTACATAAAGTAGCAAAATGTTGATCATTTTGAACTGAATGAAGTTTACCATACAGTATCTTGGGCATTTCACGCATGTTTTCAGACTTCCTGTTGCAAAAGGAAACTCTCTTTCCCCGGCCTCCCTTTCTCTCGGTGGTTTCTCAGATAAGGCCGCGTGTGGGAGCCAACCTCCAGGCAGGGCTCACCTCATTTCTGATGCTCTTTGAAACGCCCTATGTTTTCTACCCGGTGCGTTTGTTCCTCGGCCAGTTCCACTTCAAAGCCCAAAAGCTTGTTTGCTAAAGTTAGAAGTTTAGCAGTCTAGTGGCTGGCCTTGCGCCTGGCCTGTCCCCTGTGGCTGTGCTGGGGCCGGTCGGCTCCTCACTGCCAAAGCCCTTAGTCCCTTCAGCATTGGCTGAGATGCTGGCTTTTAGGGTTTTTAACTAAGTGATTTTGAAACTTGTTAACATTCTTTTCTGAACACTAACTTATGTGGCATTTAGAAGAAATACTGAGAACCAGTGTCTCAGAGTAAAGCGGGGAGGGGGAGGCCTTAGGGGAGCAAGGTTTTTGACCCCTTGCTCACACTTCCTTTCCGCAGGTCTGTAATGAGTTTCTGAACCCCACTCTTTACTCCTCAGGTTACTGTGAGCCTCAGCTCCGCAAGGCATTCTGAAGACAACATACGAATCAAAAGAGCTATTCTCATTTGTTCTGCCAACACTGGGATTAGGGTATAGTTGTTGGCAGAGTGCTTGCTTAGAACGAGGTCGTGAGTTGACTCCACAGACACACACAATGGACACGTGTGCATATGTAATAAGTGTGGGGGTTCGGCAGAGGTGTGTTGGTAGAAGCCTAGAGAGAAGTCCCTTGTGTTTTCGTTTCAGGAATGCTCTCTTTGTACTTTACAGTTAGGCCAAGCGCTAGCGTGCAAAGCTGGAAGAGCAGCCTCTGCTCGGAGTTGCTTGCTGGCTTGGAAGAATCTGGCGTTACGACTAAAAAGACAAACACTAACCAGTGTCAGAGAGGAGGAAGCTGGAGCACAGCCCCAGACAGCACTGATGACGGGGAGCTGGAGCGCCCTGGAGCAGCTTAAGCTTGCAGGCTTAGGCAGTTCTTCAAGAAGTCTGAGAGTCAAGCGTGACTCAGCAGTTCTGCTGCGGGGAGGAGGGGGGAAGAGCCGAGAGAAGGAAAGTGCTTATCCACTGGAGTGCCGGGATAGCAGAACAGCAGTATTCAGAAGGGAGGAAGGAAGCACGTGACCACTACGGGCACATCGAATGTGGCATAGCCATACAGTGAAATATTACTTGCCACTTCATAAAAGAAGAAGAGATCATCCAACTCACAGGGGTTAACAGCATGAACAAACGTGTTAAAAGTATTATGGGGCAGCATGAACGAACATGTTAAAAGTATCATGCATGGAAGGCTGGAGACATGCTTCAATGCGGAAATGCACTTGTCCTTTCAGAGGACTGGGGTTCAACTCCCAGCACCCACATGTTGGCTTACAAACATCCTTAACTCCAGTTCCAGGGGCCCCTACACTCTCTCTTGATCTCTGCTAGCACCACACATACAGGCAAAACAGTCATATAATAAGGCATAAATTTCAAAATACATATTATATTTTAAAAAATATATATGGGGGTGTATCACGCACACATACACCAATCTTGGGCCAGCAAGAGGGTTCAGTGGGTAAAGGCACTGGACACCAAGCCTGACAACCTGAGCTCCATCCCTACATGGTGGGAGGCAAGAACTGACTGCCACATGTTGTGCTTTGACTCCTGCATATGCACAGTGGCACCCGTGTCGATCCGCCTGCAGAAACACAATAAACTACAAGTTTTACAGAGCCATTCAAAATATCATGCAATGAAAGAATAGAGGAAGAAAATACTAAGATGCCCTCTGCTGTGTATGTTTGGGGTCGGGGGTAATCAGCTTTAAAAGTTTGTTTTGGCTCATACTCCCTGAAATCTAAGTCCAGGGTCACTTGTCCCTGTTATTTGGCCTGTGATGTCACAGTACATCACGACGGTCCCAGTGAGAGGTTAAGGAAGACTTCAACTCAGGCTCCTGGAAGCCAAGCAGAAAGAGGTTATCCCACTATCTCTCTTGGCAAACCAAGCTTCCCTGCCAGGGAAGGTACTAATTGAATTACAAAAGACAGGCCTGGTGGTCCAGGTGATCCCAGCTGCTCGGGAGGCTGAGGCAGGAGGATCACAAGTTCAAGCCTGCTTGAGCTACACAGGCAGTCCAAGGCCAGCCTGGGCCGCTAAGCCAGAGCTGCCATCAACGTAAGAGTCAGCGGTGAGTGGAGGTGAAGCTCAGTGGTGGAAAGCATGTCGTCAGGCACGCACAAGGCTCAGAGTTTGAGCTTCAGATCACAAAAAGTCAACTGAAGATCATATAACTCATGAACTATATCCCCCAAGGTTTGAGGTTCAGTAAAATACAGGTATATATGTTATACTCAATACATAGCATCCGCAAGCATAAGCTAGCAAACACAGTTTCTGCCTTCAGGTTGGTCAGCATGTACTGGGGTAGAATCTGTGCATTCATTTTGTTTTTAATCGACATTTTTATTTATTGTGCATCTCTTGTCTGTGTGCCTGTGTGCTATGTGTGTGTGTATCTGCGCATGTGTGTCGTGTACATGTGCATATGTCTGTGTGTGTCGTGTTCGTACGCGTGTATGTGTGTGTGTTAGCTGTACATGTACCATGTGCATGAGTGGAA